AAAAACTTTCTTAACATTTACAAACTTTCCCAATAAAAACTTTCTTAACATTTACAAACTTTCCTAACCAGACACCGTCACAAACGGGCAGGTACAGAAATCACATTACAAACATTAAAACCCTATTTTCATGAAAATCAATTCAAAATCCTAACTTTCCTAACGCATCGATTCTTACCTTTCCTATGTACCTCATTGGTGCCCCATCGATGCCCCCTCCCACCAAATGTAAGTTCTTTCATCCCCTCGCACGATCCCCTCGAACCACCGTCAAAGTAAGGAAACACCCAGCGCCTTTGTTCCAAATCATGCCATTTTAGTCAACGCCAAGCTGCTCATGGCCGGGGACGCCGTCGTCTTCATGCGCCGCGCCGACGGGGAGCTGCTCGCCGGGATCCGCCGCGCGCCCAGGTACCCCGCCGTCTCCCAGCAGGCGTCCGAGGGCGCCGAGCGCCGGCCATGCAACGCGCGCGCGGGTCCCGCCCAAGGAGGTGGACGAGGTCGTGCGGCTCGCGGCAGAGGGCACGCTCTTCACCGTCACCTACTACCCGCGCCAGGGCGCCGGGGATTTCGTCGTGCCCAAGCAGGAGGTGGAGGACGCGCTGATCGGCGCCTGGGCACCCGGCGTGCAGGTGCGCATGAAGTTCCTCGACGCCGAGGAGCGCCGCTCCGAGTGGAACAACAGCGCCGTCAAGGCCGTCGAGTCGTCGACCCCTCCATCTGGCGCATGCTCGAGGTACATCTTGCGTCCATACACCCATCTCTCCAGTCAATCCATCCGATCATTGCGATAATTGTCTGGTTGATCGATGGAGTCCACCTCTGTTTGGTTCAGGCATGCTTGCTTCAATTTGTTTGCTCTGCCATTCAGTATGGAGTAGCCCTAGATGTTCACCATGCTAGCGACTCGCCCGTCAAACCGCAGAGATCCCTCGCATGGAGTAGCCCTAGATGTTCTAGGCCACCACCGCCAATCCGGCGAGCCTACGCTGCGACCATTCATGGCGCCTGGGGGCAATGAACTGGCATTGCGGTCATGGAGGGGAGGCTCAGGAGCAGGGCGACGCTGGCTGGTAGAGGAATTCGAAGGAGCCAGGCCGCCCTGGCGATCACCTTGACTGCTGCGTCGTGCACCAACTAACGGCAGTGTCCGCGGTGGTGAAGAAGCATACACGGCGAGGCTAATATAAGGTATACCTTGGAGGACGCAACCCCCTGTCGTCAACACGTCATGGCCCGAATCGCCTGGAGGCCGCAACCCCTGCCTGTGCTCCAGATTCACAGTGTGTCCTGACGAACGAGGCGGCAATCTCTGAATTGAATAATTGATCGTTCATCCCGTTCTACCGCTGATTCGCTCGGCGCCACCTCTGTGGTACTCTTGACTGCTTTCACATATCCCCACAAGGTATAGTACGTGGTATCCCACCCCATGTCATGTAATTGCATTCTGAAGCAATTAGTACATAGGAGTCAACCCATAGGACAAGGAGGATCCGGTTATAGATTTTTTTAAGGGAGGGTGTGCCATGTACGGGAGCATATCTGTTAGTTTGTATCCTATGTTTAACAATTTCGGAAATTTTTGTAGTATAAAAATCTCAATAGTGAGGATACATTGCTGAACGTGATGTGATGTATATGATTTAGTTTATCATTAGTTGTTCTCCTTGCCACTACCCACTAAATTTCAGATCTGCCTTCAACTTCTAATGGTAAATATTCAATTAATTTTAGTCGGCTCAAAAGGCTTCAAGCTTCTTTGTCCATTATTTCCTGTTCAACTTTAAGAAACCTTTCAGTTTGTTTTGTTTCACTTACTTTACTATTCCTTCTTGATAAACTCACCAGGTACTGTATATATCTCTCCCTGGTCACAGTGGGATGGCTAATAATTTCATGCACAACACCACAATAGCAGATATTCGGAGATTTGGAATTGTTTTGCTGTTTTCTTTCTATGAAAGATAAGCATGAATGCAACGATGGCAAACCTAAACATCGTTGCCAATTTTCTTTCTATGAAAGATAAGCATGAATGCAGCGATGGCAAACCTAAACATCGTTGCCAATTTTCTCTTTCACAGAATAGGATGAATGTCACGGCAGCAGCTGCAAACTCCAAGAACGTTATTGTCATGGGGGGCACCAGTTTCAATTGTGTCTTCTTGCAAGCTCCTTGTCAATGAGAGGCACAAGGTCAGTCTGTACTCTGTAGATACATTTGTGATGCAGTGATTCTTCTCTTATGCTAACTAATACATTGATTATGTCCTATGATTCTGTAGGAGCACTAAGAAATTATATGTTTTCTTAAGGGTCACATCACATGAGGAAACTCTCACCCACAGCCATGAAATTTCCAATTGAATCAAATGCAAATTATACATAGTGCTCTTCCAAGCCACAGTTCAACCCCCACTTCTTGCCGCTCGCCTTCAGCCCCAGCAAGACGATTAAATATTTTACCTCAATCCATATATCAGATCTCGTGCTCAAGAAGACGATGGTGAAGAGCATGATAATGATCCAAATGTATGTTAACAATTGGTCCAGTTTAGAAATCTAAACAGGAAAGCTGAGGGGCCATTTAGTTTATACCCAGGCCCACCTCGCCAGAGATGGTGCGTGCAGATATTTTGGCGAACGATTCCCCTGCCCCTGTTTCGCCTGTTCGTGGACGCAGAATGAAAGCAGCGACCAGTTTTTTTGGCATGACTCCTATAATTGGGTTTCAATCCAAACAGTACCCAGTCAATGCCGAACTTCTTACTCAATATGACTCCTCAGGTTTCATTTGTTGGGGAGGCAGACAGAAACAACGATAACTAATATTTTTTCTTTTCACTCACAATAATATTGTCATCAGATACAATTGCTATCAGGTTAGTGTTTTGTGAGCTTTCATCATGTCCCTTTATGGAACTTCTAAATGTTGATTATCATTTATCACTGCTGCTACTTTATGCAGAGTATTGATGTTTGTACTGAAGGAAGTCCAAAAGTCTTATTGATGCAGGCAAGACACTTGATATGACAAATTTCAAGTGGAAACGAACAAATATTATGCTTGTTCATCGCTTGATGTCTACCCTGACTATTCTTTCATTTGAAACTCGCTAATAACAAGTTTTTACTGTGCTGTTAAAAGTGATGTTGCTAATTCGGTTCATAAAATTATTGTCGTTATAATTTGGCGATGTAATACTTGGCCATAAGCCAATATCAAATTATGAAGCATTGCTATAACTTCCAACGTGGTGCTAGAGCATTATATATGAATGTACTTAGTTAAAGGCCATCCAAAGATACACATTTGCAAGGAAAATGCACAATGTCAATACGAATATGAAAGATAATTGGATAAATAACTTTGAAATCTGATCTTTTTCTGATGATAACACAACTTACGCTGATTTCCATAATGAACAGAGAATAGAAAAAGTGTTGTTGCGGCCATGACTTGAATAACAAACCAAATTCACAAGGTCGGTACTGGACTATTGGTAATATATATTCTTTTGGCAGGGATTTAGAAATACTTCACATCTCTTTTTAGTGGATTTTGTGATAGGAGTGAGAGTTGAGAGTGAGCGGGTTGGAGGCTGTGGTTGATTTGTTCAGTTACGAATGTGAGCGGAATATTTTCCCTACTTAAGAAAAAGTGGCAAATTGGATAAGGCAGTCATATTTTTTTGATCAGGTCATACAATATATTTTTTAGGATAGAAGGGTAAATGCATTAGTTTGTTGTTTTAATAGTTAATAACAGACGCGGTGGCGTATTAGTTGCATCCCCAACAACAGCCATCCTATTTTTGTTTTGTGGTAATGCATGACATTCAACTGTATGTTACAACATGGCAATGCCTCATGAGACATCGAATTTGCCTTCTTTGCTTGGGGTCGTCATGGGCGGCGCACGCCTCCTCCGCCTTGATGGTCGTGGCGGATCGGCACGAACACGGGAGGAGGGGATCATGGCGGAGAGCAAGCGGTTGGTGGGGGCACTCCTCCTTGGTGGTCCGTGGGGAAGTATGGTATAAAGGGAAGAGGGCGCCAGGACGAAAGTGAGGTGAGTCTCATCCGGTTATAAAGTAGAGGGCTCCAGCGAGAAATATTAGGCTATGGTGGGAAACTGAGCTGGAAGGAGAGAGGGTCCGACATGAGGGAAGGGTGCCTCATGGTGTGGGGTTTTGTGTTGTGTTGGGACCGCGTGTTGGAAATAACATGGCGGATAGTTCGAACAACGACATTGCTCCCCATATATGAGATGGATTTGGGGCAGCCTGTACTAAACCCGGGCAAACGTCGGGCCGGGCCGGGTTTCGGGCCGGGCTTGTAAAAGCCCGACCTTCATTTCTCAAGCCCGAGCCCAGCCCGAAGCCTAAAATACTCCCTGTTTTCAAGCCCGAGCCCGGCCCAAAATCAAGCCCGAAGCCCGAAAGCCCGGCCCGAATGCTGTTTTTTAGTACGCGCACGTGCAAGCCCGGCCCGAAGCCCGAAAGCCCGGCCTGAAATACAGAAAATTGAAGCTCGAGCCCGGCCCGAATTATCTTTCGGGCTGCAAAACAAAGCCCGAGCCTGGCCTGAATGTCAAGCCCGACCTGTCGTCGGGCCGGGCTGCCCATGCCCGGGTTTAGCCCAGACTGTCCAGTCGGTTGAGTTTTGAGACCGTTGGGCGCCCATTTGAAGTCCGAACATGCCCGGACGTACGAGGAAGAAATGAGTTTCGACCATAGAGGTGACCTTAATCATTTATTTAATTCATTTATATACATTATAGCCCGTAGCAACGCACGGGCATTCTACTAGTTACATTAGGAATAGAGATACACGAACCCAACACCAAAAATAGGCCTACATTTTTTCTTATTTCAAACTGAAGAGCCACTCAGCCCATTATAAGAGCACACTGGCCGAGTCTCTGATCCGTATTCTTAGCGACAACATTCCGTCTCATCCTCCCCAGCTCGGTTTTTGGGCCATTCTAAGCCACCATGCCTGCCTCCATCGCCTTCGGTCGGTTCGATGACTCCTTCAGCTTGGCCTCTTTCAAGGCCTACATCGCCGAGTTCATCTCCACCCTCATCTTCGTCTTCGCCGGCGTCGGCTCTGCCATCGCCTACTGTGAGTTCTGTTACAATTACGGCACATGCATGCTCTGCTCGTATGGCTAAAGTGGAAGACGACGAGTGCGTGCTAACGAAAAGTTAAAAAATTGCAGCCAAGGTGAGCGGCGGCGCGCCGCTTGACCCATCCGGGCTGATCGCCGTGGCCATCTGCCACGGGTTCGGGCTGTTCGTCGCGGTCGCCGTCGGCGCCAACATCTCCGGCGGCCATGTGAACCCTGCCGTCACCTTCGGCCTCGCCCTCGGCGGCCAGATCACCATCCTCACCGGCATCTTCTACTGGGTTGCCCAGCTCCTCGGCGCCATCGTCGGCGCCTTCCTCGTCCAGTTCTGCACCGGCGTGGTACGTATCCCCAGCCCATGTACATGTGTGCGCTTTCCGGCCGGTGGAGCACGAAAACGAACGACGCTGATACGGACTGTTTTCTTTCTCAGGCGACCCCTACACACGGGCTTTCCGGCGTGGGCGCCTTCGAGGGCGTCGTGATGGAGATCATCGTCACCTTCGGGCTCGTCTACACCGTGTACGCCACCGCCGCCGACCCCAAGAAGGGGTCCCTCGGCACCATCGCTCCAATCGCCATCGGCTTCATCGTCGGCGCCAACATCCTCGTCGCCGGCCCCTTCTCCGGCGGGTCCATGAACCCTGCACGCTCCTTCGGCCCCGCCGTTGCCAGCGGCGACTTCACCAACATCTGGATCTACTGGGCCGGCCCGCTCATCGGCGGTGGCCTCGCCGGCGTCGTCTACCGGTACCTGTACATGTGCGACGACCACACCGCCGTCGCCGGCAACGACTACTAAGCCAGCCATGGGAAGATCATTCGGTCTTTGGTTTCCATAATGTCTTCGGCAACATAAGAAGTGCGTACGTGGTGGCACTCTCAGGATTGTCTGGATGATGTGAGGAACGTCATGTTGTTTGGTTCCGATCGAAAGCCCGCGAGGCTGTGGCACTTGGATGATGCATGTTTCTGTATCTGTACTGTGATGGATGTTGTGAAGTTGTTGGGGTTTCAAGATTCTTCAGTTGAGTTTCCTTATGCGATTCAATAAGAGCATCATTGTTTAGTGCATTCCCATGCCCACTGGCCAAACTTCTGTGGTGTACATGTGTCGTTTAACATACCTCCACTTTCGTTTCTATCAAATTTGTTTGGTACTCCTTTCGGTTCTTTTTATTCCGCATATAAGATTTGTCTAAAGTCAAACTTAGTAAAAATTTAACCAGCTTTATAGAAATAAATATCAACATCCAGTATACGAAACCAACATCATTAGATGCGCCATGAAGTTAAATTTCATATTGTATAACTTTAGTATCGTTGATGTTGATGTTTTTTCAAACAAATATGGTTAGACTTTACAAACTTTGACTTCTAACAAAACATAGTAAAAATGAGCGGAGGGAGTATTTGGTAGGTGATTCATGACTGAGGCATCGTGGATTGTACCTACGTATGAGGTAGAAGTCGGTAGAGCACAATACAACGGCACAAATCCGTGTGGGAGTTTGTGCATTACTTTGAGCTATATAGAATAGTCAGAATGATTGTGTGTTTAACAAAATAAAAAAATCAAAAAAATTGCACGCAATATGCAAACCGTCTAGATGGATCCATACTCGGTCATCATTATACGATGCATAAGCGGAGAGCTTATGGCTTTTGGGTGCAATCAATGAGGGACAGTAGCACGTGATACGCACTACAACCGGTTTAGATGGCGGTCTAGTAATAGGATACTTGTAGACATTTGTCCTATTTGTGATGGTTAAGGCCATTTATTTTCTATCCTTTTCTTTTTACGGAGCTGCTCTGAGACTTTGATACTTGGTTCGTTTTAATAAATAATTGTGTGCATCGCTCAATGTAGAGGCCGGTGGTAATCCTCCTTTTCGGAGAAAATAAAACCCAGACCGCAATTTGACCCTTCTCTGTTTGTGTTATGTGTTACTGTATTTGTCATCGCTCGTATATCAATTAGAGTTACATCTCTTTTTTTACCACGTTACTGCATCTTGGATGTTTTTTTCATCATCTTTCATAATGAATTCTTCAGATGGATTAGAAATCAAAATAATTAGTTCATTCCTAGCTCTTCACAGTCATTCATCATCGAGATGAGAACAACTAGCGCAGTGCGGTGTCACATTATCCAGCAATACAATTGACGACACACAGTTTCAATAACACGAATCCGCACGGAGGAAGGGTGAATTCTTGGGTTTCAAGATAGAGAGGGAGATGACACACACGCCCGCGAGAGGAAAAGCGGTGGTTCTTCATTTCCCTGAATGAAGTCGAAGGCACCGAGAGAAAATAGTTGTTCCCCAGTGGGCCACCGACTGAATTGGCCTTGGATGTTCATGGGCTTTAGTCGAAGATCACCGGCCTGCACCACATTTCATATTTGTCGTGTGGTAAATGCACACCCCCGATAGATAGATGGGCCCGCCTATTGAGTGAGCGAGCCACTGGTTTTGGGAATTTCTAAAAGGTTCCTGACCGGTGTTGGGAACCTTATAGAAGGTTCCTGAACCAGTTTTATTCTTTCTTTCTTTTTTGAACTGGTATTTCAAGTTTTCTTTCGGTTTTTTGTTCATCATGTTTCTTTTTTATAAAAAGTATCATAAATTTCAAAAATACCTAATATATTCAGAAAATGGTTTGGAATTTGAAAACCCCGATAATTTTCAAAAAATTGCTCATGTTTTCAACACTATTTGGAGTTTGATTCATTTAAAAAATGTTTGCGTCTTCAGAAATAAATACAATTTAAAAAATGTTCAGAATTTTCAAAATTCGCTGGTACTTTTTTCAAAATAAAATTGCATTTTCAAAAATTATTCATAATTTCAAAATATTTAATGTTTAAAAAAGTATTAGCATTTTCAAAATAGTCCACGCCGTCTATTTTTATTTCTTCGTGTTCTTTGGAAAGATAAAAAAATCAATTGCTACAGTAGACACCAAGAGCCGCTACTATGCTAATGGGCCGGCCTGCACTCCCGCTTGTTGATCTAAGCTTTGATCAGGCGGGCCCTTCATGTTAGTTGTTGTGGGATTTTTTTAAGAGAAAAGGCCAGAGCCCGACTTTATAAATAAAGCCACATGGCAGCGTCACGAGACCAAACAGGAAAGAGACCAGTTAACGAGGAGAACGCACACAGCGCACGGAACGAAAAGTATATAAGAGTAGCCAAGGAAGGATGGATACAGGCAACTGCCATACACGGCGCGCAGGCCGGAAAGGAGTGAGACCTAAACTCTGCAAACAGCACCACCAGGATTAGACGACAGGATCCCGTCCGGAGATGTGAGATGCCGAAGCCCGGATTTTGTCGATGAGCAGGTCCAGGGCATCCCGATCAACCTCCTTAGTCAATGATCTCCACTGCTGCAATAATATACATGATTTGAAAAGAACGTCAGCAGGCTTAGATGGGAATATATGCTCAATAGTAAATTTGTTCCTAATGGTCCACACAGCCCAACATAAGGGCACCCAGGCCAACCCAAAACACCCTCTTGGTGACCCCAACCAAAGCTTTGGCTAGGGTTCGAATATCGGAGAAAGAGGAGGGGTTCCAAGAGACCTGAAGCCAAGATCTGACACAGCACCAAACCAGCTTGGCCAGCACGCAATTGAAAAAGATGTGATCAGAGTTCTCCAATGCCCCACATAGATGACAGAAATCCGGGCCAAGCCCATTGCGCTTTTTAATCTGGTCAGCAGCCGGCAGGCGACCACGAAAGGCTTGCCAAAGGAAAATTTTAATCTTAGGAGGAACTTTGGACTTCCAAACACAAGAGAATCTGGTCGAAGGAGTACCACCAATAAGTCTAGAATAAAGCGACTTGACCGTAAATCTACCTGAGGCCGAATGAGGCCAGACTACAGAATCGGCCGACTCCGAGAGCACGGGGAAGAGGGCAGAGAGACTTTGCCAATCTTCCAACTCTTCAGGAGACAGGGCCCAACGAAAGGCCAGATCCCAGTTATTAGCCGCCACCTCTGCGATGGAGATACCCGGATTAGGACAGTAAGAGAACAAAACCGGAAAACTCTCAGCGAGGGGGGCATCCCCCGACCACCAGTCCAACCAAAAGCGGACTGCCATCCCATTACCAACATTAAATTCAACATGTTCCAGAAAAATAGGTCTGACTTTGACAAGGGATTTCCAAAATTGAGAGCCGCGCCTCGCGGTGGCAAACAGCGGGTTGGAATGTGGGAAGTATTTAGCCTTAAGAATCGAGAACCAAAGCGAGTCAGCCCCACTAGTTAAAATTTTCCACCACCACTTGATAAGCAAACCAATGTTCATCACCCGAGTATTAATAATACCTAACCCCCCACGGTTTTTAGGCTTACACATATGCTGCCACTTGACCAGCCTATATTTCCGTTTATTATCCGCAGAATTCCAGTAGAAGGCTCCCCTATGTTTGTCGAAGCCAGCATGCACGCCATCCGTAAGAAGATAGAAGCCCATAAGAAACATGGGGAGAGAGGATAAGCAGGAGTTAATTAGAGCAACTTTGCCAGCATTGGTATTATATCTGCCTCTCCAAGGGAGCACCCTGTTCCCCACTTTAGCGACCGCCGAAGCGAAATCTTTAGCATGGAGCACGCCAAGAGAGATAGGAAGGCCTAGATATTTAAAGGGAAAGGAACCCAAAGAACAGTTCAGAAGCCTGGCAACCCGCAAGGCTTCCGCCTCATCCACACCCGTCACCAGGACCTCACTTTTAGCGAAATTAATCTTAAGAGCCGAAACAGCTTCGAAACACAACAGGGTGAATTTAAGATTGGCAATGCAGGTGTCATCCAGCTCCACCAAGATAATTGTATCATCCGCATATTGCAAGTGGGAAACACCCTCCGGAAGTAAATGAGAGACCACAGGAGCAATGTGCCCACAACGGGCCGCCCTGGAAAGCATGCACGAGAAGGCGTCGGCCACAAAATTAAAAAGAATAGGGGAAGCAGGATCCCCTTGGCGAAGAAATTGCTAACAAAACCATTAACCGAAACGGCAGTATGGCGACCCGAGACCAACTGCATGATACGATGAACATAAGCACCGTCGAAACCTTTAGCAAGAAGGACCTGCTTGAGGAAGGGCCAGCTAACGGATTCATAGGCTTTCTCAAAGTCTAGCTTAAGGATAACCGCTTTAGCTCTCCGAGCGTGAAGATCGTGAACAATCTCATGAAGGGATAGGATACCATCAAGGATGAAACGCCCTTTGATGAAAGCAGATTGATAAGGACTAATAACTCTATGAGCAACTGGCGGCAAACGATTCGCAAAGCCTTTAGCCGGGAATTTGGCGAAGTTGTTAATCAAAGCAATAGGTCGGAATTGGGAAATAACATCAGCACCCTTAACCTTGGGGATCAGGGTTATCACTGCATAGTTCAGGCGGGAGATATCGACAGTACCAAGACAGAATCCCTGGATAACATTACAAACCAGCTGTTTCAACTAGGGCCAGAATTTCCGAGAGAAAGGAATAGAGAAGCCGTCTGGCCCAGAAGCAGCATTAGGATTGGTAGTGTTAACAACATCCCAAATTTCCTAATCAGAAAGAGGGATCATCAAAGAGGCATTCTCCTCGGGTGAGATTTTAAGACCTAAGTTCCAATGGGAGGGAGAAATGGAGAAGCCCGATGGAGGTTTAGCCCCCAACAACGAAGAGAAGAAATCCACCACATGAGCCATAATAACAGACTGCTCCGAAGATCGCACACCATTAATGAGTAGGCTATTAATACCACATCGTCTACGCCTGCCAT